GGAGGAAGAACTGAAGGAGGAAGAACTGAAGGAGGAAGAACTAAAGGAGGAAGAACTGAAGGAGGAAGAACTGGAGGAGGAAGAACTGAAGGAGGAAGAACTGAAGGAGGAAGAGGCTGAAAGAGGTGATGAAATGTGGGAGAAGGAAGAAGAAGAGACAGATGGAATAAATGAGGTGGACGAAGAGCAAGAAGAGGCAGAAATGGAGAGAGAGAAGCCTGAAGAACGACATGAAAAAGAAAGAAGGGAAGACGACAAGACTGAGGACAAGGAGGGGAGGATAGAGAGTGGGGATGAAGGGATGGTAGATGGAGAGGAAGACATAGAAAGACAGGATGAAGATGAAGAGCTGGAAATAAATGAAGATCAGAGGCAGACAGAGGAGGATGAGGGGATGAAGGAAGAAAGTGGGGATGATGGAGAAGAGAAAGAGATGGATAGACATGAAGAAGAGGAGGTTAAAGGAAGAGAAGAACAGATGGAGGGAGAGGAAACAGAAGAAGAGGTGATGAGGGGAAGAAGTATGGACGACAGGGTGCAGGACGAAAAGGAGGAAGAGGAGGTGGATGGAAGGAAAGAAGAAAACAATGAGACGGTGGATGAAGAGACGGAGGATGAGGAGGATGAAGAGGAGAAAGAAACGACAAGAGAGATACATCACACTGAAAAAGAGACGGAGGAAAAAGAGGAAGTAAATAAAGAACAAGATGATGGAGGAGAAGAAAACGAGAAACAAGAAGAGTTGAAGGGAAAAGAAGACGAAGAAGAAAAAGAGTTGAACGAGGAAACAACTGATGAAGAAATAAAACACGTTGATTCATCTTCATCTTCATCACCTCAGCTCAACTCCACTGAAACACTGAGTCACGATGGAGAGACACCAGAGGACGAGAGGAGAGAGGGAGAGAAAGACTCTGGCAGACTGAACAGTGAGGACATTTGTCCCACATCACCGAACAAGGACAAAGACTCCGAGGAGGTTTTACTGAGCAGCTCCGACGCTTTGACTCAAACTGCAGAGACGGATCTTCATCCTGAGGACGCTCCGCTGCATCTGAGAGAAGCTCCACCTGAACGACACGCAGGTACGACCCCGGGTTCTCACTCCGTCACTAGAAAACTGTTTTCAGACGTGATCCGGAAAAGTTCTGGACGTTTTCTGGAACTTTTCCGGTAAAATGTCAGAGTGAGGTCATGTGAGGAAACATCAGGAACACGCGCGGCAGAGGAGGAGCCGTACACGTAGAAGACGAAGGCGTCCACGTGGAAAGACGAGGAGGTTCCAGATGTTTTGGTGATGAGGGCCGACGCCGGCGTGGACGAGCTGTAAACAACAACACTGATCTTTACACGGTTTAGACGTCATGTCCCGTCTCCTGCTGCTCTACAGGCTCCACCCCTCACCTGAATGACCCCACATGTTCCTGTTGTTGTGGACGAGTCGACAATCTGCTACACAACATGACTACACAACATGTCACGTCTGAAAACAGTTGAAGTGAAGATGTTCAAATTGTCCCTCGCAGACAAACTGAGACACGTCAGAGTTCAGATTCCTGTGACCTTCACCTCGAGGTCAGTAAAACGCTCGTCAACAAACCGGGTTCAGAAAAGTTCTCTCCTGTGCATCTGTTTCTCAAACCCTGGCTCCGCCCCGGCTCGTTGACACACGTGTGTGGTTTACACGCATGTTAACAGCAGCTGTAAACACGGCCTGAGGAAGAGCTCGTTAGTGAATCCACTGTAAAAGTAAATGAATTCAAATGTACTGAATGTACAAAGCTAGAGGACTTTTGTATTATTTAATTTTATTTAACAGCATTAAATAAACCTGAATGTGGTGATTTGTCTAAAGGACAAAGACATGTCCTGTTTTCATCTGTGGGACTATCGTCCCTGTTGTTTTTACGTCTCCACTCTTGAGTTGTTTCTGCCGTGACGGCTCTGTTTTGTTTTTCAGTGTAGAGACGAGCTTATGTAACTGCAGCTGATTGGCTGGAACACAATTATTCAAAGTGGAGATTCAGGTCAGAGAGTTGATTCATTCATTAAAATGTCATTAACATTCCACAGTGATGACGTTCACCCAAACCTCTGCAGCAGCGTCTGCTGGTGAAATCATTTAATGACACGTTTGGAAGAAAAGGTCACTGAGATGTTTCTGCTTCCAGATCGACCGACGTCAGGTTTGAAGCTGGAGAAACAAGCGACTGCGATGGACGCGGCTTCTCAGTCGTCGGTGGCGACCGCAAGTGAAAACGAGCGGATCAGTGCGAACCAGAACCCGGCGATGGAAGCGAAGGAGGGCGAAGGAGCCAAAGAGGAAGGAGGTCAGAATTCTGCTAAAATGAACGGAGAGGCGGGCGACAAGAAGAGCGACGGCCGTCAGTCATCGAAGTACAAGACTGTGTCGTACAGGAGGATCCGCAGAGGAAACACCAAACAGAGGATCGACGAGTTCGAGGCCATGATGAACTTCTGATCCAGCCGCTTTTTATAATCCTGAGCTGTTGAACGATGAATCCTGTGAATGAATAAAGAAAGAAAACCCAGGAGAGACCCTTGTGGTGCTCCATTTTTAATGATCTGTTGTGAGTCTGTAAGAAATACAATGATTCACTTATTATAGAAGAAACTGACACGTGTAGTTGATTTACATGTTTTATTTCTATTGGAAACGTCACCGTCACTAATTGTGTTATATTTATAATTATATTTAATGATATTAAACCAGCTTACGAAGCATCATGCAGGATTGTTTT